CAGGCCGGCCCGGCCGGCTGTTCTGCGGTCGCTCTGGTTGGAAGAATACAGGTCTATGTCATGCTTTCCTCCCCCACCCCGGCGTTTGAGTCAGAGCCCTCCGAAGGTACAAGGGAACGCGCAGCCCGGGCGGAGTGGCCTAACGGGCTCGGCAGGTGCAGCCCCCCCAGGCCATCCCCCGCCTTTCGCCCCCCAGCATCGGAGGGTGGTGGACAGTTCGCGGGGTGGGGAGCGTGAGGTCGAGATCTAGCAACAAGTCTAAGAGGTATAGGGGGTGCAGGTGGCGAGAAAGAATCGGTGACTTCCCCATCCAAAACCCACCCCAAGAAAAACAAACCAACCCGGCAGCACGAGCAGGCTGCACCCTGCTATCCTCCCAACCCGGTGTCTGTCCCGGGTGGGTTGTGTCTCCACTCCGGCCGAGCGGCGCGGCCCGAGGGGTCGCGGCGCGGTTTTCCAAAGTCCAAGGCGGGGAACAGCGACCGCGCGGCGGGCGGCCCGGAGCATCCCGCGTTCCCCGCCGGAAACTGCGCTTTCCGGAGAAGCTGCATGGAGTGGGACCCGCAGGGGTCTCACCTGCTCCCTTGTTGCCTTTGCAGTGAGGCACCAGAAGGGGCTCTTCCGCTCAGATGTGGCAGACAAAAAAAAAAAGGGTCCGACCCTCTTTGTCTCCCTCGCGCACCCCCCTCCCGCTCCTTATGTATTTATTTTTCGCTGACAATGCTCCGGAGAGGGAGATAGCGGTGCGCGTGAGAAAGACCGGGTGGGTCGTGTGGGAGAGCAGCCGCTCTTTGCTGAGTCCGTGCAGCTTCCTCTCCACTTTATTCCCCCCATACCCTCAAACCCAGCTCCGGGCGTGAGTGCCGCTTGCTGCCAAAGACCCGAGAGGGCAGAGAAAGCACAGAATCCCCTTCTGCGGCCATTTAACTAGTTGCACTGATTCAGCAGTCATAAAGATGCTGGCCATCTAGGGAAAGGGTTTGTGGAGTTGAATAGGATAGTCAGATGCTGTGTACTAATTCTTTACCGATGCAGTTTGCTACTTTTTGTTTCTACTGTACCGTGATGAGCCATAGTGTGTGTGTGTGTGTGTGTGT